ACGTATGCATGTATGCATGTATGCATGTATGCATGTATGCATGTATGCATGTATGCATGTATGCATGCATGTATGTATGTATGTATGTATGTATGTATATATGTATGTATGCATGTTTTGATACACAGGTCATTTTGTTTGTGCACTCACACACACACTATGCTTGTTCATACACGGATGGCTGTGATTGCGATCTACGCTTTTCTGAAAGCGCATATTTGAGAGACCACCATTCACCCTCACATATTTGATCTGCTTATGTGCACCTCACTTCCCACTCACAGGAGAATGCACTGTTCATGAAGGTGGCCACCGACGGTCGCAAACTGCGCGGTCGTATCATCGACTCGCTCGAATCCGCAAACATCCCTGGTGCCACTGATTTGCAAAGCTTGTTGCACTTTGTAGTGGTAGGCGGCGGACCCACCGGTGTAGAGTGTGCTGCAGAGCTCCACGACTTTGTGGCCAACGAGGTGAAGGAGTTCTTCCCCGATCTCGCGGACAAGTAAGTGTGTGTTTGTGTGCGGATATGTACATGTATCTGTATGTGTATACGTGTATATATCTGCATGTGCATCGGCTTGCGTGTTATATTGAGAGTGCGGTGGACCTGCCGGCTAAGCCTGCGGCGGAATTATCCGACCGTGTCGCCAATGAAGTGTGGGAGTTTTTACCTGAACTAGCGGACAAGTAAGTGTGTCTATTAGTGTATGTGAGTATTCGTGTATGGCATATGGCAGCGCATATATCTGTATGTATGTATGGTATATGCCATATCATACAGCTGATGTACATCACCGGCGTAGAGTGTGATACGGAGCTCCTTGATTTCGTCTCTACTGTAGTATTTGGGAATACACAGCCGGGATACCTGCATGACACGATCATTACGATCAAGCCTTGTACCTTTGGATAAGTTCATATGGGTAACATCACGATTGCCTGCCGCCATCTTACCCATTTCTCTTGGCGAAGTCTTCAATCCCGCACCAAGCCATACAAGAATTCGAGATCCTGTATCACCTATCTGTACGGAACAAATTGTTGCCTTTAGCGTGCCACACGAACTAACTTGCCTCGCATGTCTGCTACCGCGTGCTCCTAGGGTATCCATCACGCTTATCGAGGCCCTGCCCCACGTGCTGTCTATGTTCTCAAAGAGTTTGGTTGAGTATGCCGAGCAGAAGTTCCACCGTGACAGCATCGATGTGCTGACACGCACACTGGTGACCAAGGTGGATGAGACCCATGTGTACGTGAAGAATCTCGAGTCCGGCGAGACTTCCAAAATGCCCTACGGAACTCTGTTGTGGGCTTCTGGAATTGCGACACGCCCCGGTAAGTTGTCGATCGATAGACGTTTCGACGGAATAATGAATACCATGAGAAAGATCGCGTAGTTTTTCATATATGTTCAGGTCGTTCATTTTCTTATTTTTGGTACTAGAAAACATGCAAAATAATTAACCAATTTTGAATTTTGAACACATTTTGATAAAAGTAGGACAGTACGACTATTGTCTGGGCATATTTTTAATGTATCGTGAAGAATACATTATGTATATTTACGTAAGAATCGCTGGCGGATTTCTGCAGCATTCGCTTGCTAGGATAGGCTGATGTGTTCGGGAGAATTGCGTGAAAGCAAACCTAGTTCTTTGCGTGTATCTATACAAAACTGGCCATACGATTTCTGTATTCAAATTATAGCAGTCATAGGTCTTCTGGCTGTGAACTTTTACCACATGTGCCGAGTATACGTCAAACAAAACTATTCATCTACACGCACTGCACTTCTTCAGCATTGGCTATGTATTTCAGACCCTCCGGTGCCATATATTACCGTCAGCCCTTATTTCATGTAGTATTCGATTCTTGATACACCATCGAACAACGAAGCATGTTTCTCCGAACCATCCAATTTGCCATTCTAGCCAATGATAAAATAGTAGCCAGTTTTTTAATACATCAAGTACGTAACAAAGCACACATCCCGTTAACGAAACCTTTCGCTTGCCTACTCTAGTTATTGCCGAGCTGATCAAGAACCTGGGCGAAGAGGCAGGACAAAAATCACCACGTGCACTGTCGGTGGACGGGCACATGAAAGTTCTGGGTACTAGAAATATCTTTGCCCTGGGTGATTGCGCGTTTATGAACTTACCTCCCACGGCCCAGGTTGCTGCTCAACAGGTAGCGTGTTGTGGATTTACGGTCTGTTACATATACGGCACCTTCGTTTATAGGTAACACTAGACACACGGCCAACGAATATTGGTGGTTAAAACAATCGGATAGGTATGGAAACATGTCCCATATCCCTTATGAATGGGACTGTCATGGGATCTGGGGTCTCAAACTCTTCAAGGTTATTCTGTCTTGACTCCTTTGTCCGTTAATCGCTGTTCCACAGGGTTGGTACCAAGGTTAACGAATTCGCAAAGGACGAGTTAAATCCCTTTCTAATCGGCGCCATGTGGGTTAGAATACTGTTTTATCTGTATTGACAAGTTTGTTTCCTGGCATTCGCTGTTGCACAGGGTAAATACCTAGGTAGACTGATCCGCAAAGGACGTAACGCGATGATTGGTGACACCAAGAACGGAACCCATGAGTTCGACAGCTATGTGGAGAACGCTGAGGAGTTCAACTACAACCACATGGGCGCATTCGCCTATTTGGGAGACAATGCCGCCATTGCTGACTTTTCTACGGTATGTAGTACCAGATTGGGAACTACGTTGACACGTTAAGGTTGGCACCAAAGTAGGTAGCTGTGTATTTGTAATTTATAGCCGAAATGAAGATAGAAGGATCTCGGAATGTCGACGCGAAGTTCTGACCGTGCACTGCATCTCTACGTGTGAGCTTTAGCTCGATGAATACACTTTGCCCTCGGTATACTAAATTTGAGTTCATTCCATCCGTTCTTATTGATATTTACAGAAAGCGGACGCCGCCGGTGGCATCCTCGGCACCAGTGCTGGCACAACTACGTACTTCCTATGGCGTTCCGTGTACTTTTCGAAGCTTTTATCGTTCCGAAACCGAGTTCTACTGGGTGTAAACTGGGTTTTCACAGAAATTTTCGGACGTGATACCAGCAGAAGATAAAGAGTGGATCCTTCTGCGTATCCCACGAGCGCGATGGAGGGAGCGTGGCCCATTTTGTGCAAAGCAATGTGTACAAGCATGCTGTTATACCAATGCGTATAAACATGCTGTTAAACTAATGCGTACTACTTAGTTGATACTGTGCTCTATTTGATCTCGCTCGGCGACGGGACAGATCTAGTTGTGAACAACTGATAGCGAGTAAGTACAAGAAAAAATAATAAAATCTTTTTGATACATTCGGAGGTATAGCTCGTTGCCGGTGCATACCAAACATTCTAAATATCTCGGTAGCACTGACCTGCTTGTGCACAATCGCCGGTGAAATTAGAGCGAGGAACAATACAGCCAAAATTGACAAATTGAAAGCAGCGTGGACGCTTTAAGACAGGGATGCAATTATTACCATCAATCCACTTAAACGTTGACAGTCCCTCAACGGGGATGACACTCTACTTTAATGTATACTATATCATTTCATTATATTCTACTTTAACATATACTATATCGTTTTATTATATTCTACTTTAGCATTTACTATATTATTTTATTATTTTCTACTTTAACATATACTATATCATTTCATTATATTCTACTTTAACATATACTATATCATTTTATTATATTCTACTTTAGCATTTACTATATCATTTTACTATATTCTACTTTAACATATACTATATCATTTCATTATATTCTACTCTAACATATACTATATCATTTTATTATATTCTACTTTAGCATTTACTATATCATTTTATTACTTTCTACTTTAGCATAAGCTATATCATTTTATTATATTCTACTTTAACATATACTATATCATTTCATTGTATTATACTTTAACATATACTATATCATTTTATTATATTCTACTTCAACATATACTATATCATTTTATTATATTCTAATTTAACATATACTATATCATTTTATTATATTCTACTTTAACATATACTATATCATTTTATTATATTCTACTTTAGCATTTACTATATCATTTTATTATATTCTACTTTAACATATACTATATCATTTCATTAAATTCTACCTTCACATATACTATATCAATTAATTATACTCTACTTTAACATATACTATATCATTTCATTATATTCTACTTTAACATATACTATATCATTTCATTGTATTCTACTTTAACGTATACTATATCATTTTATTTTATTCTACTTTAACATATACTATATCATTTTATTACATTCTACTTTAGCATTTACTATATAATTTATTATACTCTACTTTAACATATACTATATCGTTTTAATATATTCTACTTTAGCATTTACTATGTCATTTTATTATATTCTAATTTAGCATTTACTTTATCATTTTATTATATTATACTTTAACATATACTATATCATTATATTTTATTCTACTTTAGCATTTACTATATCATTTTACTATATTCTACTTTAGCATATACTATATCATTTTATTATATTCTACTTTAACATATACTATATCATTTTATTATATTCTACTTTAGCATTTACTATATCATTTA